AAAACACTAGCTCCAGCCGAAAGTAATTGGTGAACCAGTCTCGCGTAATACAAGTATTGAGGGATAGAGAAGGAAACGTGAGATAAAGAGAAATGATGTTCTCACCTAGCTCCAGCCGAAAGTATTCGGTGAAGAAAGAGTTCTTCGTGGAGCTAGGTGCGTGTGACTAATGTTGGCCTTTCCTGTCTAATCCTATACCGACTGCTCTACATGTAGCCCTTACACCACCTGAAAGGAATACTGATGGATACCATACCACTGTACTGGATGACCCTGTTTGTTTGACTCTGTTCTAAGATTCAGGGTCTCCAGGTCTACTGTACAGGATTCAATGTCAGTGAGTATTGACTGGATTGAGAGTTCAAGGAGCCAAATTCTCCTCAACCAGTTTTGTTTCATGAAGCCTTTTTCTTCAGCATCACATTAACCGTTGTAGAAATCTTTCAGAAGACAGCTGAAAGCAGAGCCAAGAAGGGGAGGAATGAAGACAACAACCATGCACACATACAAGATGGATAAGGCTTGAAATGTTGAATGGGTAGACTTCAAACAAACAGAAGTAATGTCTTTCTTAAACAGGGACTTTGACTACCAATGAATTACACTTAAGACCTACAAATGTTTGGATTAATAAGGAGCAGGCTAAAAGAGGATAATAATATCAATAATAACACATTCTGGGCGCGCTCAGGCACCAAACCATTGATCACACAAGTTACAAAATTCCAACTCTCATTAGTTGTTTACCCAAATTAATAATCAAAAGATACAAAGATTTATTCAAAATTCTAATAATAATACAATTTTCTAACTAAAAGACTTGGAAAGGTAGCAAAAAATACACTTGTGTATATGAAAAATCCAGAGCACACAAAAATAGAAAGTGGGACAAAAACCCCCCTCAAACTCAAAATTCAGCTCCAAACAACTATTTCACACAGTGAATTGAAATTGATCAACAGATTCAGTGCACACAGGTCAACAAATCCCAGAATTCCAAGCTCACAATCAGCACTAAAGCCTAGCAGTTTACCATCAAAACCTAAATTCCCGCCAATTTACCCTTGAAGCTGAAATAAGATAAGATTTAGGGATAATATAGAAATTCTGAAGAAACAGAAATAGAGAGAATTTGAGACTCTACAACTTTCAGCAGCCAAGCTAAACTCTGAATCTGATCTTTGGTAGTGTAAATTGTGATTGAAAATTGAAGAAAAAAGGTGAAATGGGGTTTGTCCAATGGACCACCTCATTTTACCACTAAAGTTGGTAAATATGATGATTATAATTAAAGTGATTGGGTAATATGCAAAAATGAAGTATACCTAAACTAAACCAAACCCTGCAATTGTGCTGTGGTACCCTTGAATTCAAGTTTCATGATCAAAAGTCATTGTTGAGTTTTGTAATGTCAAAAATTCTCCTGTCTTGAATGTAATAAATAACTTTCCACTGATTAATATTTCATGCTTCATTTCTGTATGCTCTATTTGTTGTCTCAGTTTACCACCCCAGTTCACCACCATCCCTCAATGTAGACTTGTTGGGTTTTTGAAATTTAGCCATATTCAAACCCATAAGTAAAACCCATATAATGCCCTGCACACCACTATGTTACACATAACTCCTAAGCCCATACAAATGAAAGAAATGAATGCAATTAAATAATGACTAAGAAATGAAATAAAAATAAATAAATAAATAGAAAATGAATGGAAAATAACCATAAAATAAATATAAAAATGAAAGAACATAAAAAAATATAAATAAATATAAATATAACTAAATATAAATACAAATATATATTAATATAAATAATGATAAATAATTGATGTTTGGTTTTTTAAAAAAAGAAATCAAATAAAAATTGATAACAATGAATAATACAAGTTTGATAATAATAAATCAATAAAATAGAAATATAATGGTACATGTACATAACCAAGAAGATCAATGGTAAGCTTTCTGATTACTACACTGTAGATCTGAGATTTTGTGATCAGTGAATCCTTTTCTACTGCTTCACCAAAGCCTCCCACCCAGCTGGAGGTTTAAGAAAGTGATTGAATTGGAAGCCATCTTGTTCAATGTGAGTATGCTTGCTGGTTAATTTTTCAATCTTTATCTCTCATGATTAACTCTCTTTCCTAGTTATAGCTAGTAGATTTGGATCCCATAATTAGGTATTTTCATCACCTATGGGAATATCTTGTTTACTCACAGCGCCAATGGTGCTTTCTCCCAAGGCAGGTGTGCACAAATAAAAGTGGTAGTTCCGGCATTCCAACAGACACAGCTTGCAGTTAATTTTCTGCAGTTTGATCTGTTAAGAATACTGATCTATTCATGAAACCCACTGACGCAACCTCCCACCCAGCCTTGTCACCTTTTGCTCCTTATACCCATCCTGGATATCAACATTTCAATTCTTAATTAGCAAAGTCACAACACTCTTCAGATTATCATCTTCCTTCATAGTACCATGTCATTATCAGGCTTTTACAGAGTTAATTGTCACCTTCTTGTTTGTTTCTCTAAGTAATTCTGTCCAGGCATTTATGATTCTTGGCATCTATGGAGAGATACCGTATGCCAGGTTGGTTATTGTTTTCAGCTCTGGGTGGGTTAGTTTTCCAACTATGTATGCTAAGGAGACTGATAATCTTTATCTATCATTCAGGGTTGGGATACTTGCCTCAAACATTTTCTCCTTTGTGATCCAGATGTTTATTGATCTGGACTCAGGGATCACTCTACCATCCATGGTGAGTCAGATTAATATTTGGATTTTTTTTCTAACAGTTGTAGAAATTGTTCAGCGTTCAGGTTGTATCACAATAGCTTGCGCGGTGGTGCATCTTCTCTCTCAACTCCCAGGCTGTCTCCTTGCAATTCAATTCATATTATCCTATTTTGAATACAATTGACAAGGGATATTGAATATTTCACATATTGTGTCTTTTGATACATTTGCCCAGGGGCCTGCGATGATTGGTGCAACATTTCTGGATGATACAATTCAGCTGCACTTGTGAGATTTTGGAAAACATATCTTGGGATCACATATGCTATTCTACCAATGAAAGAATTCTTCCTCTAGTATTTTTGCAATTGAAATGGTTGTAGGATTCTCCATAGGAATATTACAGTCTGCATTTCTCAAACATGTAAAGATTTTTACCGGAAGATCACTTGAAATTATATTGAGTAGCGTGATGTAAGATTTCCCAATTAAGAGAAAGCTTGCAGATTTCAGCTTACTGAGTGAATGTGGAAGTCTTGTGGTGAGCTAGATACAATGCTATTATTCCACAACACAATCCTGATTTTTAATCCGGTCCTGGAGCTGGGGTGGTGAGCTTTCCTTACATTTCTGGAATGCAGGAAATATTCTAACTTGTTCGACTTAGTCAACTTGAGGCAATCAAGATTAGGAGCATCTGAATAGAGGGTATTGCCCGGAAGAGGAAAGACCATTGTGTAGCAAAAGTTTCTCTTTGAGTCCTTCTCCCCCCTATGAAACTCACAACCTCTCATGCCAGGAAAGCCACATTGTGCATGAATCCCTATGCAGGCTTTGGGTTTGAAACCTACAAGGGACTATGTTCAGTTTGGGCCTGTAGGCTCTCATCAATGGCCTATAGGCCATATATATGACCTTACAGACCCTCCTTCAAAGATGGTCTGCAAGCCAACATTCCACTGCTGTGCAATTGGTGACCTGTGTTATGTTGAAAATGACCCAAATACAGGCCATTTGCAATCCCAACTGTAGACCGGAATTTTCTCCCCATGGTGTATGAATCAATATAGATAATATATGTTTTGGTAAGCTTTTGCGTCCATGATAAATTCATTGGTTTCTCTATTAACTGATGAAATCTTCTTGTAATTCTATGTAATTCAAAACAAGAATCAATTTCCAATGTGTTTCTTCATGATGGCTGAGTTATTGCCTGAATGTTGGAACTCAGGTGATTGTACCTTTGACAAAATTAATGAAAAAATAAGGTATGAACTGACCTTCATTGTACAATCTTGGAACTCAATCAAAGCTTCCAGTTTGGTTCTTCTTATAGCTCAAACTTTCTCAAATTGAAATATTTTTTGGTTAAGTTTGATTGAAATCTCTTGAATTTTTTTTGGTTCTTGATCACTTCATTGACTGCTTAAGTACCAATGATTGTTTTTTCCTTGATGAATTTAAACAAAAAATCACCCTTTACAAACTTTTCTGATTGATTAAGGGATCGTAGAAATTTACGATCATCCATTTGCGGTCTTTAAAGACCGGAAAGCATGATGACCGCAAAAGTATAATATTCCCGGGTGAAAAGTCAAATTTACAGTCAAACCCTAATTGAGAATGTCCGCAAAAAAAAAAGTCGTAAAAAAAAGTACTGAAAATTACCACCCTGTACCTAGAATATTTAATTTTGCGAGCGAACTTTTACGTACCATGATGATTGCAAATGATTTACGTTGCAAAAGTACACGATTTGTCCCAATTTGACACTTTCACAGCTCACGTCTCACAGACATCGAAAGTCACCGCAAAACGAACGACTCAAAAGTATACAATCTCGCACGAAATAATTAATTTCGCGGTCAAAGACCTTACCGATCCAACGGATTGATGAAGGACATTACCAATCCAGGACCAAGGATTGACGCCTTTTGCAATAATTGCCAACCACGTTCCATGAGAAGTGAAGTAATAATGCCATTCCATGAAGAAAGAGAAGCACCCCGTCCTTCTATTTTCATTTTATTTATCTCATTCATCAATCTTACCGTAATCATCAGTTGACAATATCAACTTTCCTACTGTATCGAAAGCTTTCGAAAATATCCAGAACTTACACCTTCTTTCCACTTATCGTTTCATTTCAACTAATTCGTAATCTTATCGTATCTCAACTAATTCGACATTATCTTATAATCATAATCACTCATTAATTTTACATCTCATCAATTTTACAACTTAATTATTCACAAACATGCGCAAAAAACAACTGAGTGACAGTAGTAGCGACTCTAGCCGGAACTCTGACTTACAAGACGAAAATGATGATACACATGTATCCGACTCTGACGCTGAAGTAGAAGACAAACACCAATCTGACGCTGAAGTTCAAGATGAACAAGAATACGACACTTATGAACAAGACGCAAAAGAATCTGATGTGTATGAAGAAGACGACAATTACGAAGATGAAGAACCCGAAATCTCAGACGATGATCATGAGTCTCCACATAAGAAAAGGATTGTATCCAATTCTTCAACTTCGTCTAAGCCTCAGAAAAACAAAATCAATTCGTCAAATTCTTCCACCTTGACAAAGCCAAAGAAACCAGGGAAGAAGACTTTCGGCCTACCTCTTGACCGCACTTCATTCAAAACCTTCATAGACGAGAACAATACTCTCGACAATCAAGGTTATCCCCTATTTCCCAATGGAAATACTGTGTTTGTGAAGCAACCAGGCCAAGCGAAAATTGTCAATTGGGGCACTTTCGGATTTGCTTATACTTCTTCTGGAGGTAAAAGCAAAGGCCCGGCGGACTGGAGAACAGTAAGGTACACTTGTTTAGGTGTCATAGTCTGCGAAAGCCTACATTGTGAATATCTTGGCTCGCCTGCGACAGCAAGTGCCAAAAGATCCGAATGGATGAGCACGTGAGTTCATAAGTTTTCTTTTCAATTCTTACCATCAATGTTTTAGTTTTTGATATTTTCCTACTGTGATGTGATTTCCGATCTGACTGATGATCTTCCCTACATTTATCGTTTGTATATGTTAGAACACAGAAATGTCCAGCTGCAAGATGCTCTGGCAATCTTCGTTACTTGAAATGTACCAACACTTTGTGTCGATTGGACGAACATGAAAGTGGTTGGGGAATTATACGACACTCCGGATTCCATCAGCATCAATGGCCTCGACGTGGCAAGCCTGATAAATTGTCTTTGGAGAAATTTGGCAAACGTGTGGTCGAAAATCCGGGAGTAGGTCCTTTACAAAACAAGGTATGATCTTTACCTTATCTATTTAGTCATATATGAATAACTGACTACAACTTACCTCAAATCAGGTTGGTAGAGCTCCTGCAGGAAAGCAGGAGATTGTCACTGATACGAATATCCATGGGGCTTTTGGAAATCTACATCGAACAGGTTATTATCGACGCAAGCTCCTTGAAGCCGCTGGTGTAATCCCCGTAAAAAAACTTCCAGGCGCGGCTGATAACTTCATCTTGGATATGGACCATTGGGCCGAGTAAGTAGTTGTCAAAATATATTTCTTACTTAATCAGTATATTAGCATTAATATAAATGAAAAATATTTTCCAGGCGCGGTTTGACTGTGGTATCTGTGTCCATGAAGCGGCACAATATGCACCTTACATTTCAAACCGAATGGATGCAACAGCAGCTTTTGGCTCGAGACGAAAATCAACGGGTTCATGGAGGCGGCCTACTCTCTGACGTCACTTACAAGTTTTTCAAGAATGGGTACCTTCTATCAACTTCAATGTACCACGAGGATCTGCGACGCTGGATTCCTATACAACTCACATGGCTCAAAGGACTTAGTGAAGAACACTACGCCTCACACTTCCGTACGCTTATGAAGCAAATGAAGCGCGCCGATGTGACTGCAACCGAATGCGATACACTGGTCCGTCAAGTAGTAGATTTTTCTGTGGCGCAGAAAAATGGATTTATTAAGGCGTACATGAAGGTCTTCAAAGAGAATGATCGTGCCGTTGCTCTTTCTAAACTTCAAGGGTGTCATGAACACTTTCGAGCACAGGTGACACGTGTTAAGCGCAACCGGGCTATCATACACCCAAATGATGAGGTATGTAATATTTTTGTCTTATCACGTTTTACTTTAAACTTACTACTTTGTTTGAATCTGCTTGTAAAGGAATCTTTTGAATTACAAGCATCTTCTCTTTTGAAAGCAGACCGGCCAGGCGGACTCACTTTTGATCAGAAACTGGCGAAAATGATCAAGGAATTTCCAAAGGCCAAACGATGGCTTGAGTGGTGGAAAGCTTCGGACGTCAAGTCGTTGCTTTTCAAATCCAGACTCAAACAGATTGACGATGATGGTCTTTGTGACAATATCATGCCTACAACCACTAATGCACAGGAGTCTTTGCATAGAGTTTATTACATGATATCGTGCGTGTTTGTCATTTTTTTTTTCAATTTATTCTAATTTAATTTTTTTTTCATCTGGCAGCAAAGGAAACTGCACAATACAAATTGGTATTGTGCAGTTATATGCGTTGGTGGCCTGTCTCGAAAGAGACCACGAGGACCGGCGTCGCGGCGTTCCAATAGTATATGGTGATGAGGCTAAGAATTACAAAAAAGTTGCTCAGCTTTTAGGATGGGCGAAGAAGTCTCAAAAGCAGCGCGAAGCAAAAAATGATGGAAGACCACCAGATACAACAGATGCTTTGTTAGGACGACCCAAGAAACTTGGACGGCCTAAAGGGTCTTTAAATGTCGACCGCAACCCTGTTACTACGTACCAAGGTTTTACCGCTTCCACAACGCCAGGTCGACAATTTAGGTGCTGGCTTGACTCCATGACAGAATGCTTATATGCTATTCATACGCCCGTTTGGTACACTAAGTCCAGCGGCAAATCAGACCACATATACTCTAAGCTGTTGACTCTCTTTTCGTCCAGGACCACCTGGGAATTGGGTCAGGCAGGAAAGATACGAGGCATCCTTTCAAATGGCCAAAATACGCTCCACGCCGCGATCCAACAACGATTTCCGGGAAGTTTTCTGAATGATCAATACGCGTCTGCTGATCAATTCTTCAGCGGAATATTTGATTGTGAAACTCGACCCAAACAGCCAGCATCACCAGCTATTACTCAAACTTTGTTTCGTATTGGCCTCAGAAGAACTTATACTTGTCCAAAGAACGAGGATCATGTATTAGTTGAAGTATCACAACTTAACTCTATTATGTTATTGCACGAGAATTTTGACGATGATACTGCTTATTCTGATGCGGCTCAAGTGCTCCATGAATGGGCTACCACCGGCCACCATCAATCTTCACAACAATATTGTAAGACCTGCAAGACGAAGGAAAATCCTCATGCCCAGCCTTACGAAGCATTCCACACCAAACTGTGTCTTGATACCCCACCTCCTCATCTACATATACAAATTGATGTCGCATATCTTCATCAAACCAATACCTCCGAAGCATTCAAGATGATGAAAGAATGCGACTTACCTTATGAAATGATACTCGACGGTACTATTTACTTGATGCGCGCTCGGGGTTTTTGGGATGGGAGTCATTACTGGTGTCAAGTTGTTCGTACAGTTGGCAGTCTCACCGGTGTATGGCGACACAATGATATAGAAAATGCGGGAATAGCCACATTGCTATCTACTGATTTGAAGTCAATTGGTGGACAAATACCTTATACATCTTGGGTTATGTATTCCCAAGCGCCGACGTCAAAAGAAACCTTGATCATCAAGACTGCGACAGCCAAAATCAACCATTCTTTAGGGCAAAAGGAGGTACTTGTTCGACCATTTTCACAACCGGTTGATGAGGAGATTGAAGAACGTGCAGAAGAAGAACAAGGTCAAATAATTTTTCACCTTTATTAATTCTAATATATTGATCTTTTTTCTTTCTTTGTCCTTTGTCTTTCATTTAGCTGAGAATGATCAGACTGAATGCGACAATGAAGATGTCCCTTTGGCAAACAAGGAAAATCTAACAAACAAAAACAAACAAAAAGTTAAGCGTGAAACAGTTGATGATATTGCTCCCTTGGCGAAGAGGAAAAAGTTAACAAAAAACAAATCAAAACTAGGTAAGCATCTTAATTTGTTTTTCTGATGTTCTGCAATGCTTATTTTGCTTCTTCTCTTCTTTAAATATTGTGAAGATGAAGATGTCGATGTTCCGTTGGCAAAGAGTAAGAATTTAAACAAACGTAACCGTGGTAGACCGAGGAGGATACGCGAAAAAGAGGAGGAAGTGAGACTGAAACAACAAGTTGAAGACCAACAGGTAGGAGTTGTTTTGAAGAAAGAAGACGTAGAGTTGGTAGATAAAGGTGCCAAAAGAGCTAGAGGTTGGAAGGGATGGGCGATTGTGGAAGAAGATGAGGAAGCGGAGGTGGTGGCAAAGGACGAGGAGGAGGTCGACATCGAAGAGCCTCATGGTCATGGTAACGCACGGAAGTCCAAGCGTACCAGGTGTAAGAGATCGTAACAACGTATTTTATTTATTTTATATAGTCTCTCCTTTCATGTTTCATTTGGCCCCTTTCTTATCTTCTAATTTTTTGTTTTGTCGTCACTCATTCATGTTCCTTTTTTGATTCATATTTCACTCATTGTTTGTGTTTTGTTCTTTATTTTCAGTTTTTCTTCTTGAATTTTGTTTTTGTTACGTAATACACCAATGTCCCTTTTGACGACTGTAAAATTTTGATCACAAAATTATATTTTGCGGCCACTACTCTTCACTTTTGCGAGGCAATTTTTTTACGATTTTTCACAGTCTATATGTCACGTAAAATATTGATTGCAAAAATATATATGACTTCAAAATTTTTCACTTTTACGTGCTTTCTCATTTACGGATCATAAAGTCCGCAAAACAAAGCTCACAAAATTGTAGTAAGTGGCAACCGTGGCTCAATTTTACGGTCAATTTTTTACAATCTTTTTTTTTGCGAGCTTGCGAAAATGAAGAATGCTTGTAAAAAAAAAAGAAATTCCCGCGTAAGATTGAATTTTACGGTCATCAAGCTTTCCGGTCTATAATGACCGCAAATTGATGATCGCAAATTCCTCACACCCCATTGATTAAGCCGTGGATCCTGTCTCATTAGGAATTTTTTTGCACCAAATTCAATGGATGTCAATTGTAAGCTTGAGATGCTTAGTAAATTTTGAAAGGGCAAGGCATGCACACACACAACAAACAAGTATTATTAAGTCTTAATATTGATGTTCAAATTGCTGTATTGATTTGTATGCTGAACAAGAAGATGTTGATCCATCTTCACCAAGCAATCCACTCACTGCAATCCACTCTGTAACAACATCCTCCACTTCACAACTTGATGGTCCTTCAGTTTCTGAGAGAGTGAGCAGTTATTGCCTTACACTTGGTTCATTATGATTACTAACTGGTCTGCTCAACTTTTACATACAGTCTGCGCTGCCAGAAAAGATACCTCGGTTTGGGAAATCAGAGGTATCCTTGGTACATTCCCTTGGACGGTGTGTCCAAGGAATTAACCCAAGGCTTTCTTTGGCCCCAGAGATTGCCTCGGATCAATTTCTTCCACACCTCTGTTGGCAGTGCTGCAAAAGAAGACATTGTGTAGATTACCAATGCAAGCAAGTACAAAAAGCTTGGTCTTTTGCTCTGTCTGACAACCTTGATCAGCCATGATTATATCAAGAGGTTTCATCCAACGAAGTAATTACAGACAAACCAACCATGGGGGAAACATTGGCAACGGGTAAGAAAGGGTTAGAATCAAGAGATGGTCTTATTATTAATCCCCATAGAGATGAAGGTCTTCAAGTTATAGGTGTAGTCAGATGTGCACCTTTTGAAAAAAACGACTGATGATGAACATAATGAAATAAATGTTGCATACATTGTATCTGAAAAGGGCTTTACCAATGAGGTTACTGGGAATGCACAATAGATAGATGGATGGATGGCGTGTACTGGATACCACAAGTGCTATCAATCTGGGGAGGCTGTTGGTGAGTTTTCTTCCTTTCTCCTCCTTTCTATCTCTCTACCCAATCCTTCAAAAAATGACATTTTGAAATCTGCATTAGGATCTTACAGGCCCTTTGAGACGATACAAAAAAAGCCAGTCCTTTTGCAGAATAAAAGAGCCGTCTTCCATATTGCACAAGTCTTGACAAGTCCTACACTTGTTGATTCAAAGAGTTTGGTGGACCTATGTTGAACTTCAAAAATCCAATGCTTTGTCCTTTGGAGTCCTTGATCACACAGAAGGACTAAATCCAGACAGCTATGGTGGTAATCTTAACTTCACTTTGAATAGATTCTGTGGTGTAGCTAATGTAGATCAGAATACTTCTGGTGGATGGTCTCATGGGATATTTTTCCATCAAACAAAAGGTGTGGGAAGATGGGGACCAAAGATGCTGCATTTGATTTTACTGTTGGTGAATGTTTCTGGGCTGATCATGACGTTCTCTTTGATTTCCCTACCTGTGACAGTATTGTTGAGATTTTATGGTGTGGCAGCATAGATAGGCACTGTGCACTTTGATCTGAAAAATGTCAGATCTTCACAAGGGTTGGAACCTCAGTCAGATCAGCAAGAAGTATGCTAATACTTGTAAAGGAATTATCAACCTCACAGCAGATTATGTCAAAGTAGTAGACAAAGGTAGAAAAAAAAGAGAAAAAGTACAAAGTGTCTGATAAAGAAGGTGAAAAAGAAGATGAGGAAGAAACACCCAACAAAATCATGGGTCATGGGTGTACTACTTTTATTTCTAGTTATTGAGAACCAGAATCAATCACCCACCAAAAGAAATCAAATAATGCATGAATTGAATTGTTTTCCCTTTCTCACTAATGAATCAAAACAATACGTTAATTAAGACAATTTTACCTATAATTTTTGTGCATTTGATTGTTTGAATCCTCATCATTGAGTATTATATCTCAGTCAGATAAACCCTGAATCAAAAAAATTGAACAGCTTTGCTTGAAGTCAATGGTTCAGTTTAACCTAGCCAAATAAATGCAAACATGATTTGCAAAAAGCAGGAGAAACTTGAATGTTATTTTTCAAAGTGATCCTATTGGTGACAGTGGAGACGGCAAGTACTTATTTCTTCAAATATATCTATGCATAATCTTGAACTCATATATACAAATCAAAATTTCTTTCTGATTGACATACTTTTGGGTTTTAATTTTATGTTTAAATTTTTATTGTGTGATAGGGTACAGAGATCAATTGATGAAAAAATTGAATCCATACTACATAAATAGACTGGACTGTGGAACACAACTCCCACAATTACCAGCACTTGTTAGAACACAAACTTGACCAATTCATGGGTCAGCCAAGCAGTGAGTTGGATTGAGGAATTCCAAACAGAGATTTATTAGAGCAACAACTTCAAGCAGATTTCCTTTGAATTCTAGATGAGATCATTTAGGGTAGTACCTTCAGTAAACAGATCAGGAAGCAAGGATCAAGAGGGAAATAATATTATCAAGGTTGTACAAATAGAAGAAAGTGTTTGAGTACCGTAGGATACTGAGATTTAGCA